AGAATCCTTGTTTAACAATTCTGTGATCTCTTAGTTCTTGAGCAACATATGTTGCTCATATGGAAGTGTTCTTCAATTCTTTTATTCAAATATCTTCCTCACTATTTGTTGACTGTGCAGTGTTCATGCTTATGTTGTTTTTAAAACGGAGGACTGTGCTCAAGCATCATTGGCCCATAATATGGCTGTTGTAGGTTTCCTCTTTCCCTGATTCGTCTTTTTTGCTTACATTGAAGATAAGTATATGACTTGAGTTCTGTGCATGAGTGCAGGTTGGGGGAAATCATATTCGTGTTGACAGGGCATGCCCACCACGAAAGAAACTGAAGGGAGATAGTTCTCCCCTGTATGATAATAGGAGGACTGTTTTTGTAGGTAACCTCCCGTTTGACGTGAAGGTAAGTTTTGAATCTTTTCAAACTCTGCTGCTGCTTGGCTTTTCTTTTTCAGTATTGTTATGTCGACACTTATGCACTTTGCTCCAGGATGAAGAGATTTATCAGTTATTTAGTGGTATAAAAAATCTTGAAGCTAGCGTTGAAGCTGTTCGGGTTGTTAGAGATCCTGGCACAAGCTTGGGGAAAGGGATTGCATATGTCTTGTTTAAAACAAGGGTATAACTAGTAAACTGAACCACTTATATGTGTTTTACTTTGAGGCATTTGGCTTGTCTAGATATTCTGCTCCTGCCTGACATTTATTTTCATTGCAGAGGCCATGGAATTTCCATGAGCTAAAGTTAAACTTCCCTAAGGCATGACCTTGTCTTCTGTCTGTTCCTGCACTTGTTGTTCTTGTTTGAAGGCTGTTTTCAACATTAGTAATTTCAAAATTGTTATAACTAAATGTAAAATCTTCATATTATGCATCTATGTAGTACTTCTACTAAAACAATAAGCAGAAACTTGTGAGATATGATGCATTCCAATAAGCTGTTAAAATTTGAATGCCCAAACCAATCACATGGAAATTAAAAAGCTATATGAGCTTATCTCTATGATATTAATATATTTAGAGAAATCATGTGGTGCATTATGTTACTATGAAATCTTGCCGATAAAATATTATGTGATCTTCATTTTACTCTAAACTTCTTATCAATGTTTAAGTAGGAAGAAATAGATACTGAATCGTTTTTCCTTCGTGAGATGAGGCTTACAAACCAAAAAATTAAGTCAAGAAATTATAAAAAATACGGAAATCAAACATAGAGAATCTTAATTATTCTCCATAGAATTAACACACAAATAAATCAATAAAGTTGCAATTAGCAAAAATTCAATACGGAGCTCATGCTTAGACTTACTAAAGAGAAAATAAGCACATTTAAAAAGAAAAGATTGGGTTTATGTGTGATTAAAAAGTGGGAAAAGTTTTGGATTTACGTGTAAAATATTTTATTGTGTAAATTTGTGGTTAAAAATGAGTATGGGCATTAAATAATTTTGAAATAATGGTTGTCAAACGGGGGCTTAGACTCGCAAAAGAGGGAAAAAAAAGTCAAAGGTCACAACAAAACTGAGGCGCACGCTTCACTCACCTTGATGTTCGTGTATTGTGGTGTGAACCTCATTCAATGAGGCACCTGCCTTATTGAAAAGGTACTATAATTACCGCCTCGAGGCACAGTATTGAGGCGCTCCTCACTGGGACCTTTACAACCATGCTTAGGAAGGCCATCATTTCAAACTAGGTTAGGGTGATAATGCCCATCGGTCCTTTCTTTGTACCTTTCTTCTTGTGTCTTTGTCTAATTTACTAGAGAATATACAATTATGTCTAGACAGGGATGATGAGCTATACTTACCAAATGAAAGGAAATAATCTACGATTCTTTTGTGTTACTTTACNTTTGGGAAAAGTTTTTGGTTTATGTGCAAAATATTTTATTGTGTAAATGTGTGGTTGAAAATGAGTATGAGAATTAAATAGTTTTGAAATAATGGTTGTCAAACGGGGGCTTAGACTTGCAAAAGAGGGAAAAAAAAGTCAAAAGGCCACAACAAAATTGAGGCGCACGCTTCACTTACCTTGATGTTCGTGTATTGTGGTGTGAACCTCATTCAACGAGGCACCTGCCTCATTGAAAAGGTACTATAATTACCGCCTCGAGGCACAGTATTGAGGCGCTCCTCACTGGGACCTTTTCAACCATGCTTAGGAAGTCCATCATTTCAAACTAGGTTAGGATGATAATGCCCATCGGTCCTTTCTTTGTACCTTTTTTCTTGTGTCTTTGTCTAATTTACTGGAGAATATACAATTATGTCTAGACAGGGATGATGAGCTATACTTACCAAATGAAAGAAAATAATCTACGATTCTCGTGTTACTTTACACGTGGGCTTGAACCTCTTAGGTGCAATTTTACTGAACTTCTACTTCAAAAATAATGGATATATGTATTTAGGATTTGTTTTGGAATGATTTGTCGAAAGCTTCCCTACATCGGGGAAGTTCTTATTAGGCCATGAATGCATGTGTAATCTATTTGTTCTAGTATTGATCATTGCAAGAATTTGGCTTTATGTTGTGTGGATTGGCCTAGCCCTTGCCTGGATAAAGTCCTATCTTTCCTCTTCTGAAGCACAAATTTGTTCATAAACACCCAAAACAAGTCCAAAAACTCAGTTTATTCTGCTTGAATTGCATGGATTATTCTAAAGATGTTATTTCAATTGGACTTTGGTTATTAATCATGCTCAAGGATCATTGTTTGTTTTGGACTCAAACTATATGGAATATGTATTATTGTTGCTCATATCTTTTTGCCAGATACTTGTATTGTGAACTAACTTTTTGTAAATCGACGTCCCTAGAGCGCACTTTATATGCATGTCCTTATCTTATAAACTTGTAAGTTTTAGAGCATTACAATTGGTTTTAATAGGTGTATTTACGTGATGTTATAAGGTGTATTATATTACCTTATTTATATATTTATTTGATTTATATTATACCATAAATCTAAATATGAACACTTTGTAGCTTGCTTGGTTGGGTAAAATATTTGTGTATTAATGTGAATTGGATGGTGATATCCTCTTTAAAAATGAGTCAAAGTGTATAACGTACAGTGGTAATTATATTTTGTCGAGAATCTTTCCTATTACAAGGTTGCTCCCTGATTGTTAGTTACGGCAAAGTTCTGTGTGGTTTGTGATTTACGAGTTAGATAAACTCCATAGAAAAGCCACATTAGCTCAAAGGCGAGCTGAAAGAATTGATTTTACAAGTTCTGTTTATGTAATCATTTCTACACAAACTGATGAAATGTCTGAACGTGTCTAGCCTGTCAAGATGAAAGAGTTGCATGACTACCGCTTTGCTTGAGAGATAATAGTATATTTTAAATAATTGTACTTTCAATTGAAATAATATTTTGGAATTTTTTCTGTTGGAAAATGCAGGATGCTGCTAACTCAATAGTTAAGAAACATAATTTGAAGCTTCAGGACCGTGAACTGAGACTCTCTCATGCCAAATCAAATTCCACTCCCTCGAAGAGAAAGAGTATTTCGCTGCCAGAGACCTACAATACCCCTGCCAAGAAGTTTGCAGTTGATTCCAGATATTCGGGTAGTGATAATAAGTTGAAAGCAAAGGCCAATATGTCTTACCAGGGCATGCGGGCAAGCAAATCTGGCACCCAGAAGAAGGCCCCTACAAGAGTCGGTGCACCAGCAAAGTCAAAATCTGGATCATCTATGGAGAAGCCAGTTAAGGGCAAAAGACCAGCAGTGGCTGCTAGAAAGCTAAAAGCACAACGGGCTGCTAATGCTTCGAAACAGGTTGGAATAAAGCGGAAGCTGGATAATCGAACACCTGACACTGCTGGCCAGAAGAAGAAAGCAAGAAAATTTAGGTAGAAAGCTCGACTTGGGACTTGAATCCCCTTCAGCTTAGTGCAAACGTACCTCAGTATGAATTGGCTATTGAAAAACACCCCCTTCCCCACGAAACAAAAAGAGAATAAAACAAGAAAAGAAAGGCCTATAGGAAAATGGGGAAAATGTAATCCATGCGAATGTGCTGAAACCATTTTTTAGTTTTTACCTCGGTCTATACAATTAACTCGTGAAAACTGCATATTGGCATTCAGAATCATTTATTTTATTTTTCAATGTAATGTGACATGGTTTGTATCAGGAGATAAGTGTTATGTTTTCGTGTGACATTTTCATTCTTGTAACTTATGATCACGATGGATTATCGGAAGAAGGGTCTTCACACTGCTCACATCATGCTCTCCGAATCAGGTTGTGTGAAGGTTGCAACGCTATGGTATGTTGAAGGCACCCCCTTTGTATTGATTGCACGAGTCAAGTGGGATGGAAGTCAACAACCCGAAGGACTACCAGTTGACTATGACATGTTTTTGTTGGTTCATATCTTATAATTTTCATTTTGAACACTGACTTGATAGGAGAAGTCCTGATTCTTTACCTCATTGCTTCCCGTTCAGATTCCAACTCGTTCCCTCTCAGTAGCTTGCTCCTTTCTTTTCTTCGTGTGGTGAGTCTCTCTCGACCCTTAAGCTACTCCCACAGCACGTTTAGTTTAATATCGAGTTGTCCTTATATGGGGTGCCGCCCAGGCAGTAATGACTTTGATATACTGTGTTACAATTAACAAATGGAGTTTTTCAGATTAACTACAAATAGAAATGGTTTTACTGTAACATGAAATATGTAACAAACAGTAATTGTTAAACGACTGCACAATGGCACATACATTTCAAATGATACAAACATGAATATGGTCTCTGGCCATGTGATGCTATATATCATCAATAATACAACCTCACAGAGGACAGATTGTAAGCAATCATACTGATGCTCCAATATCACTCATCACTGGTCTCCCAGCTATAGCATCCAAAGCTTAAACTTCTCTTGCAATTTTGATTGGTACAATATGTTATGGAATCAGATGGTGCCAGAGAGTTGATTGAAAGACGGGATGGGGTGGGTGGGTGGGTTGATCCAGTGCATTTAACGTCATGGTTTGCCCTTGTTGCCTATCAACGTAGGGGTAATAGACACAACACCTATTAGAAATAGAGTGATTATAGACTGAAAGTCGTAGAGATCACCCACTGATTGCAAGTCGCCAAGCGCTATTCCAGCCTGGAACAGGACGAAATAGTTAGTATTCAGGGATTATAATGAATACCCAAATTCAGGTTTCAAGGAAATAAAAACCAAAAAATTACTGCAAAGATTTGTGTTTGCTTAGTATTGTTGTTACTTCAGTTTGTTTTCTTGTTTTAGATACAGAAATCTCGTGCTAGGCACACTTTTCAGTAATAATACCATATGCGTGTGAATAAAAGTATTAAAGCAAGAACAAGTACCCTGACTGTGACGAAAGCAGCAGGGATGATCCCAACAAAGGTAGCCAAGAAGAAAATATGGTAAGGAACATCTACAATTGGCGAAGCAACGTTTATAAATGTATTTGGCAATGTTGGAGTGACTCTTAGGAAAAGCATGTAGTTCAGCAGCCGCTCCCTTCTTTTAGCGACCTGAATAAGCAGAAAGATTACATTCTAATAGTACAGGTCATGCCCAATACATGACCTCATATGAGTTGATAATCACCTGGGCTTGGAAAAAGGTTAATTTGTCAGGCCAGAGGGAGAAGACGAGTGGTCGACCAATTAATTTGGATAAGAAGTAGCACGAAGATGCACCAGTAGTAGCTGTGAATACAACAAGAGCTACACCTTTGAAGACCCCGAAGAGGGCTCCAGCAAGTAAGGACATAAATACAGTTCCTGGAATCATAAAAGTCTGCATAAAAACATAGACGAGGCAGTATCCCACAAGAACCTGTATGGTGTAGTCACTTGTATAGCTCTCCAGGTTATCCCTTTAAAAAAACACAAAAACCTGAATTAACTCCATTATGCAGATGGGAGACAATATCTTTGAACAATCTTTATCAGGATATTTCAGCAGAATAAGAATGCAACGAGTCAGTTACAACAAGAACCGCACAACACATGATATGAATAAAGAAAGCGCAGGCACGAACATGCAAAAAAGCATCCAGAAAAATTATAGGCATCGTGTAGATTTACTCGTCAATATACCACCTCTAAGGAAAATGTTAATAATTGATGCAACATGTGGAAACCACATCGATGTACAAACTGCTTTAGATAGTGTTCCAAATACGTAACTACTAGCAAGCAAAAGAACCGAATATCAAATTTCATCAATCCATTTATTCCAAATCAAATAAGTGAAATTACCAAAGCATGGAGCCAGGAGCACTATACATTACCAAAGAAATTCTCATTGATTAAGTGATTCTTTTTGCCAAGATTAAAATTCATCGTACACTTATTGTCACTCTTTTGAAATTCAAATGGAATCGCTAGCTTGATTAACCAACAACAAGTTCGAACATCTCAAGAATCTTTGCATTATTATCAGAGCACATTTAAAAGGAAGCCTTCTGTATATAAAGTTAAAAGAAAAACTAAGAAGTAAAACAAATTTCCTTATCAACGAATTAAAAAACCTTCATATCTGAAGAATGTATCTACAATTGTTTGATCTCATTTGTACAAGAAGTTCTAATCACGTAATACGAGCTTCAACTTTCTGTAATTTTTATTTTATTTTCCAAATATCTATAGTACAAGCATACTTTTCATAATGTCAACCAATGATCTGGATGTCCTTCCCATAAAGTGATCATATTCTTCGAAAAATCTCGTATATGAAGTCTAATGTAGGTGATTTATCAACTAGCTTCACCAAAGTGCTCCTAGATCCAATACTGATGGTTGAGAGACCAAGGCAAGAAGCTGAACATTGGACTAAAAATCGGAGAATGCATTTCCTTCAAATCCCGCAATGACATCAAATTCAAATATGCGATATATAATTATAAAAAAAAGAAAAAAAAAAGAAGAGTACTTGAGAATTTGGAGGTCTTGCAGAGAACGGGGAAGCTTGAGGAAGCTGTAATCAGATGCAGGCATTGTTAGGTAGATACCCAACAACCCTAAAACAAATCCCAATAAGACGCCGCAAGCCATCGTCACCTCCCACAACGTCAACGGAAAATTGCCGGATTTCACCTCCTTCTTCCCTTCAATTACACCTCCGGCGACATTATCATGATTCAAAGAAGCTACTTTTGCATCCATTACTTCCAATTAATCAAAATAATCTGTTTATTTCTAATATGGGATTTAGGAATTTCGAATGTTGATTGGCGTTTAAGGTAAGAATGATGACATGATGAATATACTTATATATACATAAATACAGGTAAATACATGAATAAATATAGAAATATGTATCAATGCCCTTTTCTCTCTAAAATTTCAGCTGAAGATAATGATTGTCTGAAAATGTAACTGTCTATTTATTGGACATATTATTCAGACATTGAAAAGAATATTCCTAAATTCGCACATAAAATCCAAAAAGGTTAAAATCATTTCTATTGCTTCTCATTTTTTATTTTTCTACTTTTTATTTTATATTATTTTTTAAAGCGAAAGGCCGAAAGCAAATCTTGTCAAGTCTCTGTTCGATAGAAATTAATTTTAAGGATTCACAACTTTTCACACGTATATTTCATTAACTTTTATTAAAATTTACTGAAAATTTGATTTTAATCTCCATCAAATATAGGCTAAAATTATAGTTCGTCTCCAATAGAGTAGAGGTTCAGCTCATAGAGGCCGGTATTCGTTTACCTCATTAATTATTATATTTTTTATGTTTGTTGTAAATCGATTAATATAAAATATATTTATTTCAATTAGTGGTAGGTGTGCGACAAATGCAACATGATGGATATAGGTAGGTAGTGTAATGGGGTTGATTTTAAAGCAAACAATTCTTCATGTCATTGTAAAATAAAAAGATGGATTATCTTTTAAGTAAATTAAATAAGTTTTATTAAACATGACTATGTTCTTTACTTATACGTAAGAAAATAGTTATTTTTAGATTTTGAGAGTAAGATATGAACAGTCAAAATAAATAACTTATTTTTGCTTTTATAATAATATATGAATTTACTCTTAAATTTACTGTCGCATTCTTATTCTTAACTCTCCATTAGTTATCACTGTTTATTTATGACGACAGTTTCCATCCTAAAATTCTGTTTGAGCCTCATTTTTTAGCAAAAAGATTTTTTTTTTGAATAGTGTTTTGTTGAAAATTGTGTGGTTAAAAAATAAGAATTTTTTCGATTTATGTGTAACATTATTTTATAGAAGAATGTGTAATTGAAAATAAATTTTGAATACTCTAAAAACACAAAAGGAAAAATGTGAAATAAAAAATTACTTCCGTAATTTTTTTAAAACTCAAGGAGTGTTTATGTAATTTACCTTAATATAATTATTATGGGACATGTCAGCCACGAGTTGCACGTGACATTGACCCTTAAAAAAAAAAAAAACACACCGAACAATCATTGCAGGAGGCACATGGCTGCATGTAGTGCACCACTCTCCACGCCAACGTTTGTAATGCGACAAATGTGTAATGACTTATTTATCCTTTTTGTCCTTTTCGGCTTATTAAGACCTAAGAGGTTTTTGATGGATATTATTAAAAAAACAATGTATAGTAAATAGTGATATGATGAGAAATACGTAATTAAAAAATAAGAAAATATTATTAATATAATGAAAAATATTATTTAATTGAAAAATATGTGATGAAAATGAGTTTTAAAATAATATATTTTGAAAGAATCTGTGTGAAACATGGGCTCAGGGGCAAACCCATGAAGGGCCTGGTGGGTTCGGCCGCCCCCACTGAAAAAAAAAACTGTAAAAATTTATTTTTTTATTTTTTTTATTTTTTCACAATTTTTTTTAGCTTATTTTCTAACAATATAGTAACAGTAATATAACACAAATGAAGTCCATTATAAGTTATATTATATTTAGAATGACGTCTATCTTGATAGTAAGAGTTGGTATATTGACGGACAATTTTATTTTATTTTATTATTACAATTAAATTTTTTTTCCTCTGTCATGGAACAACAAAATAGGGCAACAGATTTTTACTCTTCAAAAACTTAAAAAAATCCTGATAATATTTGTTTATTACAGATTCTTTAAACTCATTTTTCCCAAACACATTTTCAATCATATATTCCACCAATAGAATAATTTTGCATGTGAATACATAACTTTTTTATACTTTTTACGATACGTTCTTCAAAAAATCACTTTATACAAAATTCATTCCAAAAAAAAAAAAAAGATCTACACTATCCTAATCTAAGAGAGAGGGTTTGATTCCTTTTAAAATTTACATTACAATTAATAAAAAGGATTATCTATTTATTCGTTGCCGAAGTAAAGAATTGTGATTTAATAAAAATCTTGTTTCATATTAGGATTTTTTGCCCATTATATGCATCGGGTGCACATAAGCTTTAAGGGCATTAACAGTTACACCTTTCTAGCTATTTCAAGATTTGAGTGCGATGATACAATTAGTGGATTGTGATAGTATCTCAGAAAAATAACCTTTGAAGAGCAATGTCGAGTCTAATGATGAGCATAAGAAACATGATAACCAGAAGTTGGATGTAACCGTAGAGAGAAACAAGTAATTGTTGGATGCGAACCCTAGCCCCCTTATTGTACTATTTTAATTTTGTTTTTAATATTACGTGTTAGTATGTTCGATTTATCTTTAAAAAAATTATGTATGTTATTTTCACTTTTTTGTTTTCATCACTTGGGCCAAGATTCTTCATGTTAAAACGATGTTTGTTTACATCAAGAAGTGCATAAAATAACAAGTTTCACTCTCTACTGGATCAATTTGTTGGGTTTTAATGGCCCAGCCAAAACATATCTTATAAACTAGGGATAATTAAGGGGGAAAATATCATATTTAAGGTGTATTTTTTACCTCAATTAAAAAATAAGGTAAATAGTTTAAAAATTCAAAAATCAGGTATTTATTTAATTAAATAAAAATATTTATTAAATAAAGATAATAAAGTCACATTTTGTGATTAATGGTCACATATTCATAATTTTAAGTTACAGATTTATTTACTGATCACATATCGTTAAATTTTTTAATCCCAAATTATTTCGAGGTCACATATCAAAAAATTTGTACGTCACAGATTTTTAAATTAGTTGGTCACATATTATTTCGAGGTCATAGATTATTAAATTTTTAGGTCACATTTGAGTAATTGGTCACAGATTGACAAACATTTGGTCACATACTACCGCCGCTTGGTCACAGGTCACAGATCGACAATGTTTGGTCACAGATCGCAGCCACCACACCCATAGCCACAGAACACTTGTAGCAGCAGATCCACCACCACCATCAATAGATCCGCCACCAACGATCGCAAACATAAACAGCTAACCATCAATCCGCCACCTCAACAGCGCCATGACCAACATCCCTGTCCCATCAACAACACAGACATCACCGTCACCACCCAATTACAAACACCACCAGAATTTGCTAACACCACCAACCCGAAATCAAAATCTATGGCCGACAGAGATCCGCCCGCCACAGCCACAGCACACACCCACCACCACCGCACCCTAACCACACCACCATCTAATGATAGCAATACCACCACCCCAAATAAATCAACAAATGTAAAAAAAACACCACAACATCGTCGAGCCACATCGACATATCCATTGATGCCAACATCTCACCATTACCGTTAACCATAGAATAACGACGGTCTCATCTCACATATCTGCTTCTAAACCACCACCACACAAATCACCACACGGACCACCACCATGCCCACCACAGATCCACCACCCACAGCCACAACCACCACCACCATCATCTCCTTTATCTCCATTTACACCACACGGCCACACCCACAGCAAAACATGAGAAGGGGATGAGGGAGAAGAAAGGGACTGCACACGATCGTCGTGAGAATGGGAGGAGGGAGAAGAGATGAGAGGTGCTACTGCGCTGCTACTGTTGCTCGTCGCGAGAAGAGGATGAGGGAGAAGAGATGAACGGTGATGCTGCCGCTGCTCGTCGCGGTATTGCGAGACGAACGTGCACCGCTGCTCGTCGAGTCACTGGAGCAGCCTTCTACTTGTTGTCGACGGATCCGCCGGAGGGAGAGAAAGGAGCCGCCAGAGGGAGATGAGTGATAGAAGGAAGAGAGAGAGAGCAGGAAAGGCGAGAGGTGAGAGGGGGAAAAATGAATTGATAAAATTAGGGTTTTAATATTAATATATTTGTTAAAATATAAAATTATTACCTGATTTTTGAATAATTAAATTTTCAACCTGATTTTTGAAGATTAATCTTTAAATAGCTGATTTCTTTAATCAAATTTATAGTTTGAAAATTCAAAAATCAGGTTATTTTTTATTTATGAAATAATAAATTATTAAATAAATAAATTATTAAATATTTAATTCTAATATAATATAATTAACCCATCCCATATGCACCACTCATACCACTCTGGGACTATTTCGACGACTATTCCGACCACCACTCTTCTCTACCGACCGTTCTAGCGACTGCTACGATTCCGACGACTATTCCGGTGACCATTCTGGTCACAGATTTATAATTTACGGTCACAGTTCAAAAATTTTATAGGTCACAATTAATTCGTTGGTCACAGATTTCAAAATTAGTTGGTCACAGATCAAAATTCGGTCACAGTTCAAAAATTTTATAGGTCACAATTGATTCGTTGGTCACAGATTTCAAAATTAGTTGGTCACAGATCAAAATTTATAGGTCACACAGTCACAGATTTCCAAATTAATTGATCACGAATTTTTTTACGGTCACAGATTATAACTATATACTTTAAATATAAGGTCCTTTTGAAAAATCATGTGAAAAGTAATTACAAAGTATAAAATATTGTATCTTCTCCCTCTCAAAACAAAGAGTTACAGCCACTTTCAGCACAAAAAAAATTGTTGCCTAATTTAGTTTATGTGAAAAGATAAGGATACACTAGCTGTTTATTCTTGAGATTGCATGTCAACCATAAAATTGCACTAAGAACTTCAAGCAGTAATCTAAGAATTTTTATGGTGGCAGACTTAAAAGTGACATGATATGTCGCTTTTTGATGAAAAATTGATATGATACTTTTTTAACAGTACTAGTTTTTACCCGTGCATTA